TATGATTTTTAGATGATATGTTTAGATGAAATAATAATTATTACTTACCCAACAGAATTCAACAAAAAAATCACTAAAAACACTTCAAGAGCACTATAAAATAGCAAAGTTACTATCAAAACAAAACACGTGGTGGAAGTAAACAAATATGTTAAATTTACTTTAAACCTGATATAGAGGCCGTGGATTTGTTGAAACAGTACGAAGCCATATTAAACTCGCAAAATAGATTTTGTGATGTTTTCGAGTACAGCGAACATTTTTACAAACAGTTTTTTTGGCCTGTACTTGTATGAGTACATTGGGATCAAATGGGTTAAACCTACTCATGGGATCGTTCACAGATGGTCAACTTCTACCGTGAGAAAATAGGCATATAAAGTTGTCATTTAATGATATACATAAAAGTAACAACATTTCTTGCTCAACTTTACTTGGTGGTTATTTCTTTGTTAATTGGTTTAACCTTGATTCAATATTAAATGAAATATATTTTTGAAAGTATACAGCGCAGGTTTTGCTTTTAAACGTAAAATGAAAACTAATTTGGTAATCCCTTGGCGCAATATGTATCCTGTATTGTTATGTTTTTTTTTATAGAAATATCGATAAATAATAGCAATAAATGTTTAGTTTTATAAAACACAGTAATGAAAAAAGGAGTACCTAGATTTAACAAATTCCGTTAATTCTAAAATTAAAGGTTGTAGTATTTAATTAAATTGAAACATGCCATGAATGATAGAAATTGTGATCAGTAATAAATATGTAAAGCTATCTGCAATATGTAATTGTAGAATTAATTATTTATTTATTAGAATTAAATATTGAAACACAAATAATGTTCATTTATTAAATTTAATGAATTCTACATAATGGAAACTCAATCGTTAATATTAACGATTAGTGACATTAACTAATCTTACTTTCAAATTAATTTTAATTTGTTAATCGATCTTTTTCGAACCGTTATATAACTGTTGAAATTTTTAGCTGCATATTCTCCGACTTTATAGTATTTCATGTCATTACTTAACCTCTTAAGCGCTTTTTACGTCGAGCGTATGTGGACAACCTGGTGTGCATTTTGCCGCATGCGAACATATTTGTCACACCCAACATCTTTATTGTTAAAATCGTCATGCCCACTGCGTAAAAAGTGAATTCCAGTTTCTGTTTATTAGGTTTATTTCATTATTAAAACAACATAATAACATAAAACATATTTTTCACAGAAATAAATATTATATGTTTACCCCATAAGTTTAAACTAGAACTAACACTAGCACTATCACCAGAACCAACACTAGAACTAGAAACTTTCGAGTTAAGTCGTGGATCTTTTGAAAAAATTTTCAACATTTCGGATGCCATGTTGCACCAGTATCGTCGTTCCTTTCTAATTTTGTTTTCATAACAAAGGAAATTTGGGAAATGTCGCTCTAGTAGCCGAGAAGGCCTTGGTGTCCTTGAAATCTTCTGAAAGATTTTTTCTTTAGCATATTTTTCGACAAGCATTTCAACTTTTTTTGTCTCTTTCTGGCAGAGGAATAAAAATGTAAATAATTGTCCACTAGGTCTACTCCTCCTATGCCTGTGTTGTATTCTATAACTGATATAGGCTTTTTTACTCTATGTCCTCCTTTCAAAATTACATCTTCAGTGCCGTTGTCGTTTAAGGAGCTTACCATTATTATATCTTTTTTGTCTTTCCATTTCAACATCATCTGCTTCTTTTTAAACTGTGCAATTTGTTCACTTCTTGCTACTTTTGTGTTTTTAACTTCTTCTGGGATTCCTCTCCTGTTTGATCGGACAGTTCCTATATTAGGTGTTATATTTCGCTAGTTTATCACTGAGATCAATATTTGAGTAATAATTATTTAAAAATACACAATAGTCACTTTCCAGAAATGAATGTGTATGTTCCAAAACCAGGATAGTTTTGGAACTTACACAGATACACTGAAGATACGGGTTCATCCGGGTAATGAGAACCATGTAACATATCTTCACCAGTGTATACCGGGTGTAACAGGATCATGGTACACCCCACGTATGTCCTTTAGTTTTGAAGATAATTGATTCAAATTTGGGACATGCTATACACATGATAAGATACACTTTACTTTACTTTACTACAAGTAATTATTTTTTCAATTCCGGTTTCGCCGGAAGTGGCACTAACTTTAGATTTTTAAATGGAACAGCCTGTATATTATTACATTTTTGAAATCTGAATAATTTTCTGAATCCAATGGTACCACATAAGTGACATTTCAAACGTCAATATTTTTTAGAATTTATGTTAATTTTCCATTTAAGTGTGCCATGAGAGTTCCGTTTTATTCTAATTAACCCGTCTAATGCTAGAAAAATCTAAATTCCGCCAAAAATACCAAATTACGTGATTTATGTGCAAATAAAGTTCATCAAAATGGTTTTTGGGGTATAACCCTTTTTTTTCTAATGGAACCATATTGGTACCGTGGTACCATTTATTAGTACTATTAATAAGAAATTTATTTATACCTAGTATTAGAACATACGATAAATACAATAAAAATTACAGCTAAACAAAATAAGAAAATACAATTTTGATCTAATTAAATGTTATGACGTTACTAAGGTGGCTTTGGAAACAATGAAACTGTTTAATATGTCAAATACAAGGTAGATTGTTTGTTTATAGGTGTTTTTATTGTGTCTTTAAAAAGTGTTTACATTTATTGTTAATTTTGTCCAAAATGCCGCAAACTTATACAAGAGATGAAAAAGTGGACATGTTAATTATTTATGGGGAATGTAGAAGAAATGCCGTTGTAGCTAGAAACCTTTATGCCGAATGATATCCTGATAGACAATGTCCAGCGAGAAATTATTTTAATCGTCTTGAAAATCAATTCCGAAGAGAGCCCAACCATGATCCCGAAGATAATTCAATTATTAACGAAGAAACGGAAATTAATGTTTTGGCACGAATAGAAGTTGATAAGACTCTTTCTTTAAGACAAATTGGGTTTGAATTGGATATCAGTCACCAAACGGTAAGCCGAATTTTGCACAAATACAATTATAAATCTTTTAAATACCAATTACACCAACACTTGTATGAAAATGATTGCGAACGTTGGATGGAATATTGCAATTGGATTTTGCAGAATAATGTGCAGCCAAACAATGAATTTTTGGGAATGATCTTATTTTCGGACGAATCCAGATTTACGAATTTGGGATTATTCAACAGACAAAATACAAAATATTGGTCTGACCCCTGACTGGAGACAGATACTTAGGATTTCTGCAAAATGAAATTGCCGGTAGTTTAGCCCAGTTACCCCACCATTTACAACAGGAAATGTATTTCCAACAAGATGGAGCTCCTCCCCATAATTCAAGAACAGTAACTACATATTTACCTTCAACAAAGATTCGGAGACAACGTAATTTCGACAAATGGTCCAATAAGGTGACCTCCAAGGTTACCTGATTTGACATCCCTTGATTTCTTTGTTTGGGGCCATTTAAAAAACATTGTTTATGCAGTCGCTGTTACAACCCGTGAAGATCTAGAGCTACGAGTAAGACGAGCACTTAATAGCATAACGCCCGAGCAATTGGAAAATGTTCTTCGGGAAACAGCAGTGAAAGTTCCGAAGTGCAATGACGTTAATAGAGAGCATTTTGAACAACTGACGTAATGTTTTGAGTTCATTTTTTTAATTCCAAAGCCACCTTAGTAACGGCTTAACATTTAATTAGATCGAAATTGTATTTTCTTATTTTGTTTAGCTGTAATTTTTATTGTATTTATCGTATGTTCTAATACTAGGTATAAATAAATTTCTTATTAATAGTACTAATAAATGGTACCATGGTACCAACATGGTTCCATTAGAAAAAATTGGGTTATACCACACAAACCATTTTGATGAACTTTATTTGCACATAAATCACCTAATTTGGTATTTTTGGGGGAATTTAGATTTTTCTAGCATTAGACGGGTTAATTAGAATAAAACGGAACTCTCGTGGCACACTTAAAGGGAAAATTAAACATTAAATTCTAAAAAATATGGACGTTTGAAATGTCACTTATGTGGTATTGGATTCAGATAATTATTCAGATTTCAAAAATGTACTAATGTACAGGGTGTTCCATTTAAAAATCTAAACTTAGTGTCACTTCCGGGGAAACTGGAATTGAAAAAAAATTACTAGTATGTCAAAAAGTGTCTCTTATCATGTGTATAGGATGTCCCAAATTTGAATCAATTATCTTCAAAACTAAAGGAGATACGGGGGTGTACCATGATCCTGTTACACCCGGTATAATGAAATGTGGTCGAGGAAGACCAGAGTCGCTCCAAGAAATGTCAACAAAAGTATCTACATTTTTATTTTCATTTTCAAAATCGTGATCTGAAGAATCACCAGAAGCATCGCTGTAATCGTCGTCCGTATCGGAATTTTCAGAATCACACATATTTACATCTAATTTTTTTACCATGTCTAAATGATAAGAACAAATAATAATTTCAATTAGAAATGATTAGGGTTTAATTACTTTTTCTGTATACTAATTGCACAATTTGTGTATAACTAAACTATACACGCAATACGTGGAGCACCGAACAACAGCGCAGAAATATGTTTTAAAAGCGAATTAAAACGTGAAACCAGTTCAAACAAGTGTTAGACAGAAATCTATACTAGCTAAAAATGGAATATACGTGGCAAAAATCGTCTTGCCTATTGAATATCATTTTAATTTCTAAAATGCGAATATATCTGGCATACCCACTTCGCAGCGACTTTCGTGATGACGATTAGGTATATACAACATAAGCGCTTAAGAGGTTAAAAATAACAAGTCGTCATGATTTAGATAGGTTTATTTAGATGATTTAGATAGGTTAAGTTAACATTCATTTTTATTTTCACGTTTTTATAATAATTTTTTTATACTTAAAATAATTTTAATTATCTTTCTTTTTAAGATTCACGTACAACAATTACCAACTATAAAATCATCAGTACCAAGTCTTATTCACGGCCAATCAGATTATGACATAGTATCTCCAGGGACATGGTTACCAGTGGCAATAGCACTAGATTGGATAGGAAATAAACTTTACGTAGCGGATGCAATAGGTCAAAAGATAGACATTTTTGAATTGAACGGAAAATCACATGCAATAGTATTAGGTTCAAATCTGACTAGTCCATCCGATATAGGATTAGACCCATTAGAAGGTTACCTTTTCATTGCGGATTCAACCCAAATTTTAAGAGCAGATATGGATGGAACAAGTGTTATAACGATAGTTATGGAAGCAGCTTATAAAGCGTCTGGAATAACGGTTGATATCATCGCAAAAAGAGTGTTTTGGTGTGATTCGTTGTTAGATTATATAGAAACGGTTGATTATGATGGTAATGGAAGATATATTGTATTAAGAGGACAACCTGTTCCCAAGCCTTCAAGATTAGCTTTATTTGAAAATCGAATTTACTGGACTGATAGTACTAAACAAGGAATTATTTCTGTGGATAAATTCGAGGGAAATTCAAGTATTCAATTTTTATATCGTTCTTCAAACCTGCGTGAACCAAGAGCAATAAAAACTATTCATGGTTTAAGTCAACCGTCAACTTACAATCCTTGCGGTGATAACAATGGAGGGTGTGCTCATATGTGTATTTTAGCAAGAAGTGAACGTGGATTGGGATACAGATGTGCTTGCAAAATAGGATTTCGACTTAGCAGAAATGCTATGAATTGCGAAGTTATTAATGAATTCTTAATGTATTCGCAACAAAGATTTATCAAGGGAAAAGTATTAAATCCGGTTATCGAAGGTTTTACTGATGCTATTCTTCCGGCAGTTTCACGTCGAGCTCGATTCGTAGCTTTAGACTTCGACGCAAAAGACGAATACATTTATTACTCCGATGTACTCCAGGATGTTATTTATAGGGTCCATAGAAACGGTTCCGCGAGAGAAATCGTTCTGCCATCGCAAAACGAAGGCGTCGAAGGTCTAGCGATCGATTGGGTTGCGAAAAATTTGTATTATATCGATAGTAGAAAAGGAACTCTTAACGTTTTATCTACGAGAAATGTGACTTACCGTCGAACATTATTACATGACTTAAAAAGACCTAGAGCCATAGTTGTTCACCCAAATAGAGGATATATTTTTTATTCGGAATGGGATCGGCCCGCAAATATTTCAAGAGCTTACAGTGATGGTTCGAGAATAGTTACATTTAAAAATTTTACATTGGGTTGGCCAAACGGTTTAGCAATTGATTATCTCACGGATCGATTGTATTGGTGCGATGCCCTTTTAGATCATGTACAACACTCAAATTTAGATGGAGGAGATGTTAAAACAATAAGCTCACGACTTCTAAAACACCCATTCAGTATAGTTATCCATAAAGATTTTATGTATATTACAGATTGGAGATTAGATGCAATAATGAAACTTTATAAATTGGGTGGAGGAAATGAAGAAATTCTTATAAAAGAACCTCAAACGAATCGATTATACGGGGTAAAAATTTACAGCGAAGACGAACAACGAATAGATCCATCTCATCCTTGTCATAGCAATAATGGCGGTTGCCAAAAGTTATGTTTTGCAATACCAAAGAATAACTCACATGAACTAACTGTGAGATGTGGATGTCCTTATGGAGAAACACTCTTAAACGATGGCAATTCTTGTTCACCTGATCCTAAAGCAGAACCGCCAATCAATCCTTGCCCCAACTCTTGGGATTTCACGTGTAATAATCAACGATGTATTTCAGCTGCTTGGGTTTGCGATGGTGATAATGATTGTTTAGATAATAGTGACGAAGAACAAAATTGTACCATACCCACGTGTAGTTTAACAGAATTCCAATGTAAAAGCCATCGTTGCATTCCAAAATCTTTTAAATGCGACGGTGAAAATGACTGTGGTGATCACAGCGATGAAGTCGATTGTCCAAATGTATCCTGTAGTGATTCCCAATTTACCTGCGATAATGGGCGTTGTATCCCGAATACTTGGAAATGTGATTCTGAAAATGATTGCGGTGATGGTTCGGATGAAGGAAATATGTGTGCGGAAAAAACTTGCGCATATTACCAATACACATGTCCAAGGACTGGGCACTGTATCCCACAGAGTTGGGTTTGCGATGGTGACGATGATTGTTTCGATAAAAACGACGAAAAAGATTGCCCTCCAGTGACCTGTTTACCAAATCAATTTAAATGTGCAGATTTGAGACAATGTATACAAGAAAGTTATAAATGTGACGGAATTCCTGATTGTAATGATGGAAGCGACGAAAAAGGATGCCCTCAACTCGAACCAAATCAATGCAACACTGAAAAACACTTCCAATGTCAATCGTCAGGAATTTGTATACCTCGAGCTTGGTATTGTGATGGAACTCCAGATTGCGATGATAGATCCGATGAACCATCAACTTGTGGAGATATAAGCTGCCCAGCCAATTTCTACAAGTGTAGCAACTCACAATGTATTTTTAAAGCTTATATTTGTGATGGTAAATACGACTGTGTTGATGGATCCGATGAAGGACATATTCATGCTTGCGGTCGACCACCATTTAAGTGTCCGCCGGGTCTATGGCAATGTCCTGGCGTAACAGAAAGATGTGTTAACATTACCAATGTTTGCGATGGTAAACTAGACTGTCCTAACGGATCCGATGAAGGAGAAGATTGCGAATTAGACGAGTGTGAACATAACCAAGGATTATGTAGTAATTCTTGTAAACAAACACCAATAGTATGTATTTTTGTAAGATTTTAAATTTCAATTGAATCATTATTATTTTTTAGGGACCTATATGTCTTTGTCCACCTGGTGAAGTCTTGCAGGAAAATATGAACGTATGCGAAGATTTTAATGAATGTGATCCACCAGGGACATGTTCACAAATGTGTACGAATACAAAAGGTTCTTATTTCTGTTCGTGTGCTCCTGGATATACGTTGGATGTGAATAAACACAGTTGCAAAGCGTTTAGTAAGTACGAATACATGGGTGAGTTTTTTCTGTTTAGTTTGGTGATCACGAAAACTAGCGGAGATAGAGAGACGCTTAAATAGGGAAAGAATTGTAGTTTCATGAACTCAATTTAACGAGCTTTTTCTTTTTTGGATGAAATGCCTGGCTAACTAGATATCTCGAAAAAAAAACGGTTTTTTGTTATATCGTTCGATAACTATGGCTCCGTTATTATTGATTTTAGGAAAAATGTGTAAAGGAGAAATTTGTAGGGTATTATACGTTTAATAAAACAGCCTAACTGTTTTTTTATTTAAGGGGGAAACCACATTAGAAGATTCAAAAAATCGATTTTTTTTATTACATAAATCGTTAGCTTAACTATCTAAGAATACGATGTCAAAATTACAAACCGAAATTCGCATTCCTTTAGATTTTATGAGCATGGAACAGACCGGTCTGCCGTAGCCTATACTAGAGATGTGCGCGTTAGTGATTTTTTATGCCCGCTCACGATCTATACCACGCGGGTCACGCATACCACTTACGTGCACATATGAATCAGGTGACTCACGCGTGATTTACTTATGACATCATTAGCGAAAAAGCTCAGCACTTACTATGGACTAGCGATTCGAAGACATACATCGATAGTGTAGAAAATATGAAAACAGCGATTATGGCGACATACTATCATATGATATCCACCGATGAAAATCCTCGACAGGAGTGTTGCCCATAGGGAGAAGACAGCTGGTGCGTGTGGCAGAAACGAACAGCTCTTGGTATGGAGCTTGCACCGCATCCTACTCCATTGCATCCCGACATACAGCAGGAAATTCTGCATATATATGAAGATTTATCAAGGGATGAATTACTGGAAAGATGTTTAGGTGGCCACACGTGAAACGCAAATGAAAGCTTTAATTTCACAATTTGGCGATTAGTTCCTAAACATTTGCACTCCGGACTAAAAGTCATCGAATTGGCATCGTACTTAGCCGCGGGCTTATTCAATGCAGGAAATTCATCCCTTCTGATGATCATGAACGAAGCAGGAATTGTAGTAGGTACGCAAAGCTTCCAGTACGCTGAACAAATAGATAACCAGCGCGTGAGTCGACAGAATCGACGTAGTTCATTGAAGTCGAAGGAAGGTCGGGAAGCTCGAAAAGCACTGCTGCTAGCGCAAAATGAAGCCTATGAGGAAGAAGCAGGACTAATGTATGGTACTGGAATCGCGGATTAATCGGTGACTACTTTATATTATTGTTAACTTTTCTAAATTTCTAGTTTCCGAGATTTTTTTTTCAAACGCGTTTTTCTCAAAATGACTTTTTTCACATTTGCGGGAACTCTAACTCAAAAAGTAATGAACCAATCGTTATGAAAATGGATAGTATGATTCTTTATAAAATTACGAAATATATGAACCAACTTTTGAGATGATATCATGATTTTAAGAGAGTTTTTTTTTGCATAATTAGTAAAAAAAAAAGTGAAATTTTAAGCAAATTTTTCCAATACCTGCAAAATTTTTAATTTTCGTTACATTTACCTGCATTGCGGTTCATATTCTTAGAAAATAAGTTATTAACCTAAAATGAAACGCTTTTCGATATAAGATGAAAATTGAAATGGCTACACTTCCCGCAATTGGAGAACTCTAGGTACGACGTCCAGCGGACATCAGTGAATAACTTTGTCATTTTTCTATAAAATTATTCAAAAAAATTCACAAAAGTTGTTCGAAATATAAACGAAATAGTGTCAAAATTGGATTAAATTCTAATCAATTCTTCCCACCCAAAAAAAATCCTAAAAAATCAATGAAAATGAGCCTCCTAATGTGGTTTCCCCCCTTAAGCAATAATTTTTGAGTTATGACACAAACTTGTAATTTTTCTAATGAGAATCATATAAAAAAGGTGATTTTCTCACCGATTCTAATGATATACCACTTGCCAGATATTTTTATCAATAAATAAATTATAGCCATTTATTCTTTAAATTTGCAAAGTGCTCAGGTAGTATACTATGGAAACAATTGGTAGATACGTTTGGTTATGACAGTTTAAGGCAAATGTAAGTTTCGTTTAGTTTAAAATACTTTTTCTCAACTAATAGGAATATTTATATTTTTTATTTTATATCTTGTTCACCATTATGGTTAATGCACAAGTGACATCTTTTTAAAACGGAAGTTGTAACTTTTCTAACAGAACATCTGTCAATATTAGCAGAAGCTTCTAATCAGGGTTGGGCATTTTGCACTACCACTGTCTATTCAGTGGTAGTTAAAATGCAAAATCCATTATCACTGAAAATTTAGTGATAGTGAAAAAAAATTGCATTATCACTAGACTTTTAGTGAAACATGATCTTTAACTAAATAAGTCAATTTAAATAAAAACAAATTTTTCCTCTTTCTTGCTTTTTTATTTTTTATTTTGTTTAAATGTGTTTTGATTTTTGGTTTTTGATTTTTTGATGGTCTATTGTATTTATTCAATTATATAAAAAGAAAATGTTTCAAGTTTAGATTAAGATTGTTGAAGTTTTACTTTGGATGATGTGTTGGATTTAATGTTTAATATTTTTTTAACTTAATTGATAATTCTACTGAAGATGAAGATTATTTCCTCGAAATCGATATAGAAATACAATAAAATAAAAAAGCAAGAAAGAGGAAAAATTTGTTTTTATTTAAATTGACTTAAACAAGGCTTGCTATTTAATTAATTTAACTAAATACATTTGAATTTATATTTTATGTCCGATATTAGTTATCAACTACTTTGTTGATAAAAACGCTTCTTGGTGTAGCGGTGTAATTATACAATTAAACGATGTCATTAAGCCAATCTAGCGAAATAAATCACGACTACTTTTTTGAACGATTTTTCCACGACTTTGGAATACATTTCCTTACATAAGTCTTACTTTTATTCTTCAAGAAGTGTTACGTTACTGTAAAATGTTAATTATCACTAAAGGTTTTCACTATCACTAAATATTTAGTGCTAGTGCAATTTTTTTCACTATCACTAAAGGTTTAGTGAAAATGTAATTTTTTTCACTATCACTAAATATTCAGTGATGATGAAATTCGTGTTTTAACTACCACCGAAGAAGTAGTGGTAGTGAAACGCTTATTACATTTATTTTTTAGTGCATTATGCCCAACCCTGCTTCTAACACAGCTTCTAGAAGATCATCTACTGTGTCGTACGACCTTTGATATACAGGGTGTTTCTAAATGAATATCGATGTTTTAACGCATTGTGGTATTTATTACATGAAACTTAAAATAATAATTAATATATGAAATGAAAGAGCAACTCAAACAGTTCTGTTTGTATGTATGCGCCTGCGCTAGAAAACGGTAATAACAAAAATGGCGACTAGAGAACAGAAAGCTTTTTGTTTTGCAGTTTACAAAATCCGAATCTATAGTTACTGTGCAATGTGCGTTCCGCGTTAAGTTCAGATGTGAACCCCCAAGTGATAATAACATTCGTAACAATACAACACGATGCGAGGTTTAAATATTTTATAGTATAGACTGTACCACAGTATAGGCACACGTATAGGCTATCTTTTACTCTGACTGCATCGAACCAGTGACGTCAATCTGCGGGGTAATAATCGATACTACAGAGGCATAGGGAATTAGGTAACCTTATGTTCTATAGACCTTGGGGACGACCAAGGGTTAGTGAAGAAAGTGTTGAGCGAGTGAGAGAGAGTTTTTCACGCGTAGCCCGACGAAATTGAGCTACGCAGTCGGATATTGACTGTTTGGAAACTTTTACGGAAATACTTACAGCTACGTCTGTATCGTTTTCAGTTATTACAGGTTCTAAAGCCTACAGATCATGGTTTACGTGCCAACTTTGCACATGAAGTGTTGTTGCATGACGATTTTCTGAATGATATTGTTTTAAGTGATAAATCCACTTTTCACATCAGTGGGCATGTGAATACTCATAATGTGCGCATCTGGGGCTCAGAAAATCCTCACGAGATTGTCAAATTGCAAGGAGACTCCCCCAAATTGAATGTTTTTTATGCCATATCTCGGCGGAAAGTAATAATAACAATAATAATAATGTTTATTGCCTCAAAAACAAATATTTACATAAATATCTACATTCATAACAAATATAGACATAAAGACGAACGGATTAATTTACCGCAATAAGTGATATCTTCCAAGAGACCCAACTGGGGACGGTGTATATGTAACTTTAAATAAATAAATTATGGCTACCAAAAAAGTAATACTAAATGATGTGTTAGTAAAACCGGGCAAATGCGCATTTTTTAGTTATGTAACGGATCAACAGTCAATTACTACAAGGAAGGAAATAGACACAAAAGAAGTGCATTAAAAGATAGATGAAAGGCAGACTAGAGAAGAAAACGAACACGTATAGATCAAGAAGAAGATGGTTGAAGAGATAGCAGATGGCGCCTCAAGGCATTTTTAAAACTTATTAAACTAGCTGCATTGTGAACAACGGCAGGCAAATCGTTCCACAACGCAATTGACTGTACTGTAAAAGATCTGTGGTAGATTTCAGTACTATGGACTGGAAACATGAGTGTACATGAGTGGGCAAGTCATGTGATGCTAAAAAGTGAAAGGCATCAGACAAATAAGCAGGAGTGCGGGTATGGACAATTTTGTACAACATAGTAAACATGATCTACGACTCTGGCAAGTCATCATCTACAGGTTGTTACGATATGGAATAATGTGCTGAAACTTTCCTAAATCAAAAATTTACCGTATACAATTGTTCTGAAGTCTTTCCAATTTATCCCGAAGGGCTGCAGACAGATCGGGATACGCAGCATCGGCATAATCAATGTGTGGGAAAATAACAAAGATTACGACGTACAACAGGAGGAAGGTAGCAGCGAAGTTTTTTCAAAGTATGAAAACAGAAGTAAACCCTCTTAGAGACTCCCTGAACTTGTGGCCGCCAAGACATCGCCGAATCCATTCCCACACCAAGATTTTTGACTGTATTAGAAAACGGAATAACGGTGTCGCCAAGCCTCAGTTGAAAGGTAGTTAAGGAATTAAATTGTACCAGCAAGGGGCGTGTGTCAATGCAATAGCTTGCGCTTTACCTAGATTCAGGTTAAGTTCATGACGTCTAGACCAGTCAAGCACGCTAGAGAGATCGTTGTTAAGATACAATAAAGCATCTGGGAGGTTGTTAACAGTTGACGAAATATAAAGTTGAAGGTCATCTGCATACAAATGATAGTTACACGACATACCATCATTAATACTATTTATGGAAATTGAGAAGAGCAAAGGACCCAGCACACTGCCCTGGGGAACTCCACATTCTGAAGAGAGTACAGATTCCACGCGGACACGTAAAGACCGATAGGAAAGGTAGGACTGGAACCAAGATACACAAGAAGAGGTAAAACCAATAGCAGAAAGCCAAGTTAACAGGAGGGCATGGTCCACAGAATCAAAGACAACATTAGCGCCCTATTTTACATTAATTTTTGGCGATACAAACTTGCACGACGTTAAGTTTCAACAAGATAACGCAACTTGTCACAAAGCTATCCGCACAATGACTTGGACCCGAGAAAATAATATAGAACTCCTGGACTGGCCTGCCTAATCTCCGAACTTAAACCCCATAGAAATAGAGCATTTATGGGGTTTATTGAAGCATAAAGTTAGGCGTCATACTGTTCATTCAAAGAAGCGCTAAAAGATCGCTTGCGCCTAGAGTGGAACGCTATAAGTTCCGAAGACTACAAAAAACTTGTGTCCTCTTTACCAAAAAGAATTTTGGCCCTGATTAAGGCAAAAGGTGGACCCACTTAGTATTAATTTTTTGTTAACAAGAAATATTATAAACCTATATAAGTTGTTTCAATTCATTTTAATTTGATATTTCCAAAGTTAATCTGGGTGCTCAATACTTATGGCCAAGGCTGTAGTATATCGTTAGAATCGTTGAGAAAACACCTTTTTTATAAAGTCATGGCCAGCTATGGTTTCCATTAAAACATTTACAAGTTTCTGTCATAACTCAAAAATTATTGCTTCAATAAAATATCAATTAGAATGATTTATTAAACATAATAATACCCTACAAAATTCTCCTTCACACATTTTTCCTAAAATCATTAATAACAGAACAATAAGCATCGAACGATATAACAAAGAAACGGCTTTTTTGAGATATTTAGTTAACCATGCATTTCATTTAAAAACAAGAAGCTCATTGAATTGAGTTCATGAAACTGCAATTCTTTCCCTATTTAATGGTCTCTCTATATCCGCTAGTTTTCGAAATCTCCATACTAAACATGGAAAAAAACTCATACTGTATAATTAAAAATACAAAACTAAATATTTTTTCGGTAATTTCAGATCACAGCTCAGCGTTTTTAATAGTTTCCAACAGACATTCGATTCTTATTGCTGACCTCCATGACCACAGCATAGAAAGAGTACCGATAAATGTAGAAAATGTAGTTGCAACAACGTCTAATATGCATACTGGAAGGATATTTTGGTCTGATATGAAATTGAAGAAGATATCAATGTTGGATCGGGGAAGTGAACCGGTTGATATAATATCAACTGGTTTAGATTTAGTTGAAGGGTTAGCGTATGATTGGATAGGGAAGAATATTTATTGGTTGGATTCAAAATTAAACACCATAGAAGTAGCACAAGAAAGCGGAATGCACAGACTTGTTCTTGTAAAAGATAATATTACGCAACCTAGAGGAATGTGCTTGGATCCTAGTCCAAATGCGAGATGGTTATTCTGGACCGATTGGGGCGAGAATCCGAGAATTGAAAGAATTGGAATGGATGGAACTAACAGATCATCGATTATAAGTACAAAAATATATTGGCCTAATGGTTTAACTTTGGATACTGCAACGCAACGAGTATATTTCGCCGATTCTAAATTAGATTATATCGATTTTTGTTATTACAATGGTTCTGGACGTCAGCAAGTTTTAGCAGGCAGTCATTATTTACTTCACCCTCATTCGTTAACACTATTTGAAGAAACGCTATATTGGACTGACCGTCAATTGAATCGAGTGTTATCCGCTCATAAATTTAAAGGAAACAACCAAACTGTCGTCTCTCACCTTATTTCTCAACCTTTAAGTATCCACGTGAATCATCCGTCTTTACAACCTATATCCGAGAATCCATGCCAAAATAAACCGTGCCAATATATTTGTTTGTTATCTCCAAGTTCTCCAGAAGGATACACTTGTAAATGTAGACCAGGTAAAAGACTTGATCCCAACGGAAACTGTATTGAGGAAGAAATATCTTACATTATATTAATGAGAGGGACTCAAATTATTGATATTTCAACAAAACCAGGTGATAAAACGACAGGGTTCTTAACACCCATTGTGGGGGTTGATCATGGAGTTCAAGTCGATTATGATAGAACACAAGAAAAAGTAATTTGGGTTGAAAATAGAGATGATAACGAAGATAATTGTACTGTATGGACAATGCCATTTTCCGGTGGTAATAAAACCCGTCTTTTTGGTTTGGATAACGGTATAGCAGGAGCCCCTTCATCTATAGCTTTTGATTGGTTAGGGAGAAATATTTTTATTGGTAACAGAATCGCGAGTAACTTAGAAGTTATAAAAATTGATGGAAAAGTGAAATATCGAACGATTATTCTTGCTAATGATGGAAATGAAACTTCAGTTGCTAAACCAAGGTCGATATGCGTCGATCCAACCGAAGGTAAAGTTTATTGGACAGATGAAGGTGGTTATGGTGTTCCAGAAAAAGTTGGAAAAGTTAACATGGACGGTTCAAACCCAATAGTTTTATCGAAGGACGACGAAGAACCTGACGCAATAACTATAGATATTGAAAGAAAAATGATTTATTATAGTACAAAGCACCATGCTGCTATAATAACAATAACTACCACAGGAGATGGTAAAAGAACAATTATATCGGAAGGCGATAATACCGGACGAATTAAAGCTTTAGGAATTTTAGACCACACCTTATTCTACTTAGACCCTCTTTACGAAAAACTTGTCCGATTAGAATTAAACGACCTCAATAATTCAAAACCACTCATTGAAAACGATCCCGACTTGAAAACATTCACCATCTTCAAAAAGCGACAACAAGTACAACACCCCTGTTTACAAAGCAACGGAAACTGCGATCAAATCTGTTTACCAGGAGAAGGAAGAAGTCATTCTTGCGTTTGTGGCGTTGGATATAAAAAAGGTGGTGATTTCGGTTGCGTACCATTCCAAACATACGCCGTTGTTTCTCAATTGGATGTAACAAGAGGATATAGTTTGAAAGATAGTTCGGAAGCTATGGTTCCTATTTCTGGACTGGGTCACCATATCTTACACGTGGACGTTCATTACAGCGAAAATTGGATTTATTGGGTTGAATTTAACCGTGGTACATGGAATGGAATATTTAGAATTCGACCAAATGGATCTGAACTTCAACCAATCGTACGAGAAGGTAAATATATTTAATAAAATCTTCTTGAGGTGCCTATGCGATTCGAATGTTGGCAATCACATTCGCAGTGCATTAGCAGCACTTTAGAAGTATTCCCAAACTAAGTTCTAAGATTCTGCAGCCACGAGATTTTTCTTCTGCCGACTCCTATTCCTTTAACTTTTCCTTGCATTAGCAATCAAAGGGGGGATATCGGTGTTGATTGCTCATGACATGTCCCAAGTACACGAGTTTTTTCTGCGTTTGATGGTATACGTAATTTCCGATTTCGTTTTTATTTCTTGTAGTACTTCCCTGTTCGTCAGGTGAGCTGTCCATGGTATTTTGAGTATTCGTCGATACAGCCACATCTCAAAGGCTTTCTGTTTTTTAATTGTAGCTTCTACCAAGGTTCAGGAATCCATGTAATATAACAGTGTGGAAGAGACAGTATCTTATACATTTGTTTCAAGTGACTTTTGAAAATTTTGCCCATTTTCTTGACAACTACCGTCGCATTTCTATACTACATTTTATTTCTTGTTCCATTGCTCTTTTATTATAGTTCCCACAGTACTGTTTTCATGTACCCACGCAGTCATGTACGCAGTCTGGTTTCAGTAGAGGTTTGAAATTATTCTAAGGTCTTTTACCAATTTTTGTATTTTGTCCTCCTAAATTTAAGAAATAGACCACTGTGCGGCAGCTGGCCTGCAACGGTGTATTTTCTAGACATACTTGTACGATAACTGTGCCGAAAGGGTTAAGGTGACAGCGACTGTTTTACAAGCCTAGTATCCGAGATTAATCTGATTGCAGATTAAACCCTCGTGGCCTATAAAACTGAATGATATTTATCCGATTCTCTTTCCGCTTTGAGAGTAAAGTTTTGTGGATTTTGCTGCAACGACATGTTAAGAGGTTATAATTGGTAAGCTTTAGTTTGCTTCATTTTCAAATAGAAATTGAACGAATAACTGAATAGATCCAGTTATCAAAGTAACATAATTTGTACATTAGATTATATTGATCTTTTCTTAATAAATTTGAGCGGTATGATTAATTTCTGGTTCAGGTAATTCTTTTAATGCCGTTTTCGATGTTTAAGAAGCATGTTTTTCCAAGAATAGAGAATACCATTTTCTCTTTTGGAAAAGGCATACAATTTTTAAATTAATACTACCCCCTCAAAAACTTTGCTTTTTATACAGGTGTTTCTGAAAGTCATAGCATAATTTTAATCACAAATACTAGAGTTAAAATGATGACGATTCGAGTAAAAATTTTTGGTCTAAACCCATAAATGCTTAAGATATGGACCTTCAAAGTTAAAACATTTTTAAAAAAATTTCAATATAGTTTGTCTTACAAAGATAAAATTTGGCAAGCAATGTTATCATGAGAAATCGTTTAAGATCACTTTTGAAAGTATGCAACCACGGGATCAATGCTATACAGGTGTCCACAAAGGTTATTTCCTTAAAACTTTTTTATTATGTAGTAAACCCTTAAAATTTCCAACTGATTCTAATAGGCTTTTAGAATGTCATTCTAAAATTATTTTCACTCTTAGAAATTTTTGATTAGACGCATCGTTTTAGAGTTATTCACAAAAAATACAACCTCGTTCATGAAATACTGTCATTAATCTTAGGCGCCAATGAAAATAAATCGTAAGTAAAGCAGTAAACCAATATGTCAAATTGATGATAATCAATAAAAACTATTTTTTCTAAACACGCAACATCAATAGTACATTTTTCCATCATAGTATAACAAAACTGTACTCCCAAAGGATGATCGGCAATTTTTAATTCTTGTACTGTCGACCAGTATAGATACAATTGCAGTTCGTGTGGCACACGCCAAGCCGTACTTTCGGATATTCAGAAATGTCCGAATATTAATATCAACAGAATCATCAGTTATTTGCAATATAATGTCACCACTGCGTTAGTATTGCCTAAACACTTTCCCAACGTTAAAAGCAAGTCAGTTTGCTCACTAAAACTGTGATTATTTGTCATTTTAAACAACTATTACCGACCAGTTACAATTGTTTTCATAGGCACCTACGATTAATGAAAACATTTCATAATCCTGGTTGTATCTTTTTGCGAATAACTCAAAAACCAAACATCAAAAATTTTTACACGAATCATCATTTGTACTCTAGTATTTGTGAGCAGGGAATATCTTATTCTCTGTTCGTCATATGAGCTGTTCATGGTATTTTGAGCATTCGTCCATACATTTCAAAGGCTTCCAGTTTTTTAGTTGTGGCTTCTATCAAGGTCCAGGAGTCCATGTAATATAACAGGGTGGAAGAGACATAGCATCTTATACTTTTGTTTCAAGTGACTTTTTTTCAGCCACATTTCGAAGGCTTCCAGTTTTTTAGTTGTGGCTTCTATCAAGGTCCAGGAATCCATGTAATATAACAGGGTGGAGGAGACATAGCATCTTATACTTTTGTTTCAAGTGACTTTTGAAAATTTTGAAGGGTTGAAGGGACAGACACAATGACAGTTTAGGGTTAAATGTAAATGGTTACCACGTGGTAGGACACACTACCACATGGAGCAAAAACCAGCTGGCTCCTGGAACTACTCGATTTTTGCAGCGAAACAGCATAACAGGTAGCTCCTTTGTCTGGTTCTTGCACCAATCTGTAGAGTACAGTTTTGAAAATCAAAATCAATGAAAAAGTCAAATTCCCACGAATGTGGAGCTACCTGGTTTTTGCACCCCTTCAAATCCATTTCGCTTTCTTGTTCCTATGTTGGTAAATGGTCTTAATCGGAATGTCGATTTCTATCAGTTTCATTCTTCAATATTGCGTTCTTCTTCTCTTTGAAGTGCCTATCCGTCCCGAATGTTCGCAATCACGTTAGCAATTATGATTTTGTTGACAGCAGCTCGAAACAATTTTGCTGAGGTTATCCCAAACCAAGTTCTAAGGTTCGGCAGCCACGAGATTTTGTTTTATCGAGTTTTTCCTTTAACTTTCCCTTGCATTATTAATTGGAGCAGGAATATCTTTTTCCCTGTTCATCATATGAGCTGTCAATGGTATTTTGAGCACTCGTCTATACTCCCACATCTCAAAGGCTTCCAGTTTTTTAGTTGTGACTTCTATCCCGGTTCAGGATTCCATCCGTATTGCAGTGTGGAAGAGACACAGTGTTATAGATGTCTTACTTTTGTCTGGAGGAATATGTTCTGACTTTTCCTATACGGTGCTTTATTTCTTGTACATTATTTCATTGGTCATTTATTATAGCTTCCAGGTACTTAATAGTACTGTTCGAGACCCATTAATATAGAGGTTTTTGGACGTTGGTATTAAATCCATATTGCTCACTGTAATGTGTGGTCCGGTCAACCAACGTTTGTAATCCCTCTATGCTATAGACTTTATTAAACATTTCCGTGGTCTAGGTAATTCGTTCTTCGTCTAGCAGTTTTAAGAATTCAGCTGGTCCTACTGTTTATTTGTTTTATTGATGCCTCTACCTCATGTTTCAGTACGTTGGGGCTCGTTATTACTTTTGCAGCTGGGTAATTGACTTCCAATCTTTGATCATGGAAAGTCGACTCCAAATATGATATCCACTTGTTTTTAATATCTTGTTTGCCTATAATTAATTTCCCGTTTGAGTCTCATCTGCAGTCACGCCCTAATAGTTCCCGTCTCTTTCACTTTTTTATGGACGCTAAAGCTGCGGTATTTGGCTTGTAGCATTCCTATTTCTACTCATCTCTCTGCCACTTCTTGTTCTTTATTTCTTCTCGTGATCTGTTTCCGTTTCTTTTTGAATTTGTGTTACGTGTTCTTCTTTGCTTCATCAGGTTTAAAACATCATCTGTCATCCATGATTTCCTTTTCGTTTTTTATCTGGTTCTTACTCTACTACTCTACTATCTTCTCAAAATTATTGATTTCCTCTTGTAGAGAACGTCACCTCTTCTTTTATCTGCTTGGCCTTTCCATTGATGAAATCACCTACCTTTTGCTTTACTTGGAGGTGTTGAAGATTGTCATATCATATTTTCACCTTCATAACTTCTACCATCGGTGTGTTCAATATCGACTCCCGAATAAGTTATAATTGATGTGAAAGAGTTCTTATATCTTCTATTGATTAATATGTAATCGATTTGGTTTTTGACGATATTTCCCCTACGAAAGACTCCAGCAGGTGGCCTTTCTCATTTCATTGTCCTAAACCGGACCTTTCAGTTTAGGACAAAGAAATGAGGTCTGTTTTTGACCCCGCTCTTAGTTTGGCATTAAAGTTATGATATTATTAAGTTTTTATGATATTTATTTCATGTTTGAGGAATCGTTCTATTATACCTTCAATACTTTGGTAGAGCCTCCCAACTTCATCATCATTATAGGAATGATGCGGAATGACAGCGGTGGGAGTGTATATTTGTACTATATTTATATTTACTGGATTAGCCTGTATTTGGAGTAGAATGGTTCTGTCGGATATTGGAATATAATTAACAACCATTTATCTTTTTCGTTATTATCACTCCGACGCCGGGTTCTAGTTTTCCATTTGATGACTCCAAGTAGAACACTGTGCTCTTCTTTATCAAAGTGTTCTGCCTCAGGCCATCTCATTTCGTTTATGTCCATTATTATCAATGTTCAATCTCTTCATTTCATAAATAGCGTTGTCTATTTTTCCTCCTCTTGTCTTAAGTAGCACATTAAATCTTTACGTTCCAGATATGTATCTTTATAGTCTGTGGTTGGGATGTTTCTTATTTATAGACACTCATAATTGCCCCCTACAGAAATACGATTGAGAGACTTATTCCGGAAACATATTTAGTTCTGAGCATTGCAATATGATTTTAACCAGGACTATTCCATAAGATCTTTAATATAGTGGTTGTCATCTGCCTTCTAAATCCTTACACCGTTGACCATATTCTACAGTTCGTCCACTTTGGGAAGCCGTTTCCCGAATTCCAGGGCAATAAAAGTACCCTTCTCCTGTCAGTTCTTCCACCCGAAGCTGTTCACTGACAAGAGGCAAACAAAGCCTCGTTAGTTGTACCACGATCAGATAAGGTTATGACTTGCCTTCGCCTCTTGCCCCTCATACAAATCTAAGCTTTAGAAATAAATATTACATTTGATTTTCCTTAACGCTATTTATATTTTTTAAGGTATTGGAAGTAACGGAATTCGTGGTTTAGCAATCGATTGGGTAGCAGGAAATCTTTATTTCACAAACGTATTCCCCCACGAAAATTACTTAGAAGTATGTTGGTTAGATGGTAGATACCGAAAAGTACTCTTTAAAACAACAACAGACGCTCCAAGGGAATTAGCTGTAAACCCCCTTAAACGTCTTTTATACTGGATTGACTATGGACAATATCCAAGAATTGGAAAAGCAAATCTAGATGGGACAGAAAGTATGCCAATTGTAACAACTGGAATTAGTAATCCTAAAGATTTAACCATCGATATGGCCACGCATGACGTTTACTGGGTTGATGCGAAATTAGATACAATTCAAAAAGTGTCTTTCTTAGGTGGAACAAGACAAATCATCATGAGGAACCTGCCAAATCCAATGGGAATTGCTATCCATATGAACGATGTTTATTGGGTTGATAGAAATTTACGTACAGTTTTTAAAGCTTCAAAATTGCCGGATAATAATAATACACGACCAGTAAAAGTTAGAACTAATCTAGAAAAACTACGGGATATTGCAATTATGGACGTTAGCGTTCAACCAAAAGACGAAACAAATCCATGCTTTAATCAAGTAAATGGAGGTTGTGAACAATTATGTTTTGCATACCCATTAGAAAGTGAGATACATTATAAATGTGATTGTGCAACAGGAACATTAGCAAGAGACGAAAGGACTTGCGACGTTCTTAGCGAATATTTGGTATTTACCACAAGAACTGAAGTTAGAAGTTTGAGTATCGATCCGAAAGCAACCAGCCTACCATTTACACCAATTGCTAATTTAACAAACGTGGTCGGCATTGATTTTGATCACGCGGACAATAAGTTGATATTCACACAAATTCGTCCTTGGTCTAAAATTGCCTGGATGCCATCAAATAATCCATCCATAAGCAATATTAAAGTGATTCTTGGGAAAGGTGTTAATCCCGAAGGAATTGCCTATGATTGGACACAAAAGAAAATTTATTGGACAGATTCTTCAAATCACAGCATCTATGCAATGAACATGGATGGAACTGATTTGGTAATGATTTCAAGAGTAGAAAGACCTAGAGCGATTGTTATCGATCCATGTAATGGAACGTTATTCTATACAGATTGGGGTAAATTTGGAACTCACGGTAAAATTATTCGAACAACAATGGCCGGTTCTCTTAAAAAAGTAATCATCGATAAGAACTTGGCACAACCTTCAGGTTTAGCTATTGATTACGAGGACCAAATGTTATATTGGACAGATGCTGTGCGAGAAAAAATCGAACGATCAGATCTCGACGGAAAAAATCGCGAAATCTTGATAAGCGCTACAATTTATCCATTTTCCATAACAATATTAGGACGTTATATGTATTGGACTGATTTACAACTTCGAGGTGTTTACAGAGCTGAAAAACATACTGGTGCCAATATGATCGAAATGGTTAAGAGATTAGATGATAGCCCAAGGGACATTCAAGTTTATTCCGAAAAAAGACAAGAATGTAAAGTTAATCCTTGCAATATTAATAATGGTGGATGTGCTCAAAGTTGTCACCCAGGCCTAAATGGCGCAGCTGAATGTAGATGTGATGACAACACCAAGTTGGTAAATGAAGGACGGATGTGTGTCCCTAAAAACTTAACATGCGACGCAAGTAAATTTTATTGCAAAAATGGAAAATGTATTTCAAGAATGTGGGCTTGTGATGGTGAAGATGATTGTGGAGATAAAAGTGATGAAGATCCTAATTACTGCGCTTTCCATTCATGTTCTTCAAAAGAATTTAGATGCAATAACGGTCGATGTGTATTTAACTCATGGAAATGTGATCATGAAAACGATTGCAAAGATGGTTCTGATGAATTAGATTGTACATATAGACCATGTGCTGATGGAGAATTTACCTGTGCTAACTTCAGATGTATTCCAATGGCACAAGTATGCAATGGTGTCAACGATTGTAAAGATAATATAACATCAGATGAAACCCACGAAAAATGTCCGACGAACACAACATGTCCAGTAGATCATCTTAAGTGCGAAACCACTAATATCTGCGTCGAAGCCTATTGGTTATGCGATGGTGATAATGATTGCGGAGATAATTCCGATGAAAATCCATTACATTGCGCCCAAAGAACGTGTCCTACAAACAGCTTCAGATGTCCAAATCATAGGTGTATTCCAGCAACTTGGTACTGTGATGGCGATGATGATTGTGGTGATGGAGCAGATGAACCACCAGAATATTGCAAAAGTGAAGGAAGAACATGCTTTGGTGATCTCTTCACTTGCGATAATGGAAATTGTATACCAAGAATTTATATTTGTGACGGTGATAATGATTGCTTGGATAGCAGTGATGAAGACAAAAGACACCAATGCAGTAAGTAAACAAAAGTAAATAGTAGTACTAATTTAACCTCTATAATAAAATTATTAGATGAAAGAAAATGCGATGACGTCTTGGAATTTACTTGCGATGCGAACAAAGAATGGGGACGAGCTCAGTGTATTCCAAAGAAATGGGTTTGCGATGGTGATCCCGACTGTGTTGATGGAGCTGATGAAAATACAACCTCACATCATTGTGGAACTCCGCCACCATGCGGCGATGACCAATTCCAATGTGCAAATGGTAGATGCGTGAACGAGGGATGGGTGTGCGATCACGATAATGACTGCGGAGATGGATCTGACGAAGGAAAAGATTGCAACGATAAATACAAAACTTGTTCAACAAATGAGTTTGCGTGTCAAAACTTTAAATGTATTAGAATAATGTATAGATGTGATGGAGAAGATGATTGTGGTGACAGATCTGATGAAGTTGACTGCAGTAAGTACAGAAAGATATTTTATATATAATAAAAACATAAATTTAATTTAAATCGCTAATGTAAAGAGCTGGTTATATCAATTATATCCCACTATGTCATAATTCATAATATAATAACAATTTATGCTTGAGCTGTGCATAAGCAAGACATTTATATTAACTAGATATGACCCCAGATATATTTTAATACATTTAATGATTCGGTTCATGACGTTTTCAAACTAAATAGGGAAATTAGATTTATGACGCGTACTGGATATGGATTTATACAGGGTCCGGCAGTGAAAAGGAAAGATTTAAGGTAGGGTTTGCAGTGCGTTGCGAAGTGATGGGGAAGAAAGTAGCCGACTTGCCAAGACCTGCATGATTTGCCATTTGGTTGACAAAGTCAAAAAAATTATTTTTTGAATACTACATCCGCCGAATGTCCTCCGTTACAATTTATACATTCTCGGAGTCGTGTCTGAAAGTTTTGCATAAAGAATCTCTGCAAGAAAGAAGTCGCAGGGGGTTAGGTCGGGAGACCGAGGGGGCCAACTGATATCGCCGTTTCAAAGCAATTACAGCATTCATTGAAATTCTTGTAGTGTGACTTGTTGCCCCGTCTTGTTGAAAAAGTGTGTCTTCACTCCCTGGAAGGCCTTCATGTTGTGGTGTGAGATAATATTCTGAATCATTGCAACATATCGTACAGAATTATCGGTAACGGCATTTTCAGCCACATTTTCAAAAAAATATGGACCGATGATTTGCCCATTTGCCGAAATTTCACCGTTTTGAAAATAGGCTTTAACTGCGTAACCGCGCTGCTCATCCGTCCAATGCTCCAGTGTAAACTAAATGGAAAATTATGCAGGTCTTGGCAAGTTGGCTACTTTCTTCCCCATCACTTCTCGGCGCGCTGCAAGCCCTACTTTAAATCTTTCCTTGTCACTGCCGGACCCTGTACATATGGATTTTCGTTTTTGTATTTATTTCCTCTTTACTAATTCTGTTTCTTATTTATCTTTATCAATGCTACGTGAAACTGACCTCCAAACTGTTATACCGTAAGCTGCAAGAGAGTAAAAGCACGAAAAGTAAGCTGCCCTAGCGGCTTCAAGACCGCTAGGGCGGTCACAAACCCTCAATCTGCGCACCAGATACACAACACTCGCGAATCGCTTACATAGCCAATTGATGTGACAATTTCAATTCTACATCGGATCAAAATGCAAACCCAAAAACTTCACGCTTGATTCTTCTCGTTGAAAAAATTTCATAAATTAGGTTTCCTCATTATTTACTACCAATCTATTTGCTTTCATCCAATCAGTCACCATGTACAAAATTTCGGTACTTTTGTTGTTAATAAATTCCACTGTACCGTTTCGCACTACAAACATCGTGTCATTGGCGTAGAGGCAGGAAGTAACTCCAGTCCGACAAGTCATTTACATATATAATAAAAAGTAAGAGGCCAAGGAGAGACCTTTGAGGGACCCCGCAGACGCATTTCTCATATTGGAAATTTCTCCATTCCAGTAGATACACTGATACCTATTGGAGAGATAAGATTCAATCAGTTTATAGGATCGTATTCCATAAAAGTGCAATTTATTTAGAAGTAAACTGTGATCTACAGTATCGAAAGCTTTACTGAGATTATACCATATCAATTAGTTTTTTCAAATTCATCATGTGCCGTTGTTGTACTTCCATTCGTAAGTTCTGTCGCTGACCATTTATCACCTCCCACATTTTTTTATTTTGATTATCTGCATTTTTTATGGCTATCGCATTCCGTTTTCTTTATCATTCTCAACAAGTTGTAAATATTCTTGTTTGTACTTTTTATGAATATGATATAATTCAATATTTCTCACATTTGACGCCACTATTCCCAGAAAATCCACAATACATTTTTTAGTTTGTTATATGTATATTAATAATATACAATATGTTCTTTCAACAGTGCAATTTTATCATGAAAAATAGTGGTTCGCACGAGACCAACGAGACGAGATTTTCATAAAGTCTTGTCTCGTCTCGCCGATGAACTAATAAGTCTTGTATCAAGTCTCGTCTCGCAACCTCCACTCTCATCTCGTCTCGTTTCTCGTACGAGAGTCTCACAAAAGTATCGAAATCTCGTCATGCATAATCTTATTGTTTCAGTGCAATAAGGAATACTTAAATACTTGCTATAATGTAAGAGTCGGAAGAGAGAATTACAGCCCTCAGCCCTGTCGGTCGCAAATGATTTTATTTTTCACCCAATCGTTTAGGCATAACAAACATCGTGCAGATTTATTATTAAGGCGATTTTGATGTTTTCTTATAGTTAATGCAGCACGTGAGAATAATCTTTCCGCCGGGACTGAAGTAGCCGGTATGCTTAAGAGATCTCGTGCCTTTAAACTTAAAATAGGAAATAATCTGTGTCTTTATTACACCGAGGCATAGAATAATATTTTTGAAGCTCCTGCATTCATTCTCCTTCGGAAGGCGTAGGATTTACTGCATACAAAACATCAAAATCAATTACAAAATCCTACTTTTCCGCTCTAGAATCTTTTCGTTCCTCCAATGCCGTTACTTTCGAACGTTGGCCTTCTGATTGATGGAAATAGGCTTTGTATACATCTTCAAATTTCTGAATCGAAGTCTCTTTTAATTCTCGTCATATCAAAAACTTCTATCTTATGCTGCGAATCGAGAATTAAAACTGCAGCATAAATCTAATTAGTTTTACGATAATGCTTTAATATTTATTTTGTCTGTCGCAGCCTGAAAACTAGCAATAAGCTGCTCTTCGACAGCATTTCGATCTGCCTTTCGGTCCCATGAAAATATTTTGCTCTCAATATTATCTATTAGTATATTGATACATACAACCACCATAGGTAATTTGACGTATTTCTCTCTTCCGAGTTTCTTGGCAAGTATTTGAAAGTTGACTAGTAATTTATGCACTTCTTCTAACAGTATCCATTCTTTGTCCTCAAGAGCATATGGTTTTAAATCAACAACATTTTGACACAATGCACCAAGTCCATGTCTACCTTCAAGAGGTACTTTCAACATATCATTACTGGAATTCCAGCGTGTAGATACGAAAATATTTACAGAAATATTGCAGATATTATTTGCAGAAATACTTACCTGCGAGACTCTCGTACGAGACGCAAGACCTCATGCATTTAAAACTTTAGTTTTTGAGAAAACAATATTTGAAGTTTTGATAAAATTTTCGATGTTGCAATTTTCATCGATAATTTTCAAAATTTGCTATAAAATTAATTTCTTAAAGGATCCTTGTGAAAATATCACCAATTATTAATTAAAGTATCCACTTTTTAATGCATAAAGCCGTTTTGAAAAATCGCTTTTAGTTTTTGAGAAATACATTTTTGAAGTGATCGACAATTTTTTCGAATATTGCAATTTTCGCCGATTAAGTTTTAAAAATTCGTATAAAATCCATTTCTTGGAATATGAGTATGAAAATTTTCCCAAAGTGTTAATAAAAGTACCCTCTTTCCAATGAACCAACTCGTTTTGAAAAATAACTTTTAGTTTTTGAGAAAACAATATTTGAAGTTTTGATATAATTTTTCATGTAATTTTCATCGATAATTTTCAAAATTCGCCATAAAATTAATTTCTTATAGGATCCTTGTAGAAATATCACCAATTATTAATTAAAGTATCCTATTTTTAATGCAAAAAGCCGTTTTGAAAAATCACTTGTAGTTCTTGAAAAATAAATTTTTAAAATAATCGACAATTTTTTCGAATTTTTCAATTTTCGCCGATTACGTTTTAAAAATTCGTATAAAATCCAGGTCTTGGAATATGAGTATGAAATTTTCCCAAAGTGTTAATAAAAGTATCCTCTTTAAAATGAACCGTTTTGAAAAATAACTTTTAGTTTTTGAGAAAACAATATATGAAGTTTTGCTATAATTTTTAATGTTGTAATTTTCATCGATAATGTTCAAAATTCGCCATAAAATTAATTTCTTGAAGGATCCTTGTGGAAATATCACAAATTATTAATTCAAGTATCCTCTTTTTAATGCAACAAGCCGTTTTGAAAAATCGCTTTTAATTCTTGAGAAATAAATTTTTTAAATGGTCGACAATTTTTTCGTATTTTGCAATTTTCGCCGATTAAGTTTTAAAAATTCGTATAAAATCCATTTCTTGAAATATGAGTATGAAAATTTCCCAAAGTGTTAATAAAAGTATCCTCTTTAAAATGAACCAACCCGTTTTGAAAAATAACTTTTAGTTTTTGAGAAAACAATATTTGAAGTTTTGATAAAATTTTCGATGTTGCAATTTTCACCGATAATTTTCAAAATTCGCTATAAAATTAATTTCTTGAAGGATCCTTGTGGAAATATCACCAATTATTAATTAAAGTATCATCTGTTTAGAGTTACTTCGTTAGTTAAATCAGCATCAAAAAAGTTCATTTTGTATCTTGGATCCAAATAAGTTGACATATCTTATCAACTTTGTTATCAATTTCATTTTTATTCAAATATCGCAATAATGTGGCAATATAGGATATCACTTCGAAAATGTAGCAGAAATTATAACCATAATAGCCGGATAGATATGCCAGATATCCGGCCGAAGGGGATGCCGAATATCCAGTATCCAGCTTTTCGCAAATTCACTATTCGTTCCATCACTACTTTATAGCATATTCGAAATTCTAAAAATTTTCCAAACGCATATCTAAAATTGATTGGTTTGTTTGTTAGTTCATAATCCTTATACAAACGATGAGTCACCTAAGGATCCTCGAGGAAATTTGAGAAACATTTGTTGGCAAACAATATCGCACTGACCATAACGACTACAAGCTGCCAGTAGGAGATTACTTTCATAGGTTAAATTAATCGCCTATTCGCATTAGCTTACTTGTATTTATAATAAATTACTTTTACTACAAAATCTACTATAAAAGTAGCATCATCTACCCCAGCCCTTTACAGGATTAAACCTGCCAGCAGATTTGATTTGCTTAATTTTTAGTGCAAACCACGTTAAGATAGGATATATATATCAGAAATACTCAACTTAACTCTTACAATACAAAACGTTTTCTGTAACACATGTTTTTACATTACGCTTGAGACCCCAAGCCTAGTAACCCCGAGTATTATATTGTTTAAACAAAAAAGTATTGAGTTGGTTAAATTTCTATAACAGGTGGCTGAGATAAGCAGAATTATTTTCACTGCTTTATTACAATACATTCAAGTTGATTTTCTTACCGTTATTAAAAAACTCTTATTATTTAATTAGCGAGTAACATACATAAAATATTTATATTTTATTTTCAGAAAAAGATAACTCAACATGTACCAAATCCGATCAATTCCGTTGTAACGATGGTCAATGCATAGACTCTCAACTAGTTTGTAACAAAGTAGCTGATTGCAAGGATGAATCTGACGAACCGCTTCATTGCAACGTAGACGAATGCGCAAAAACAGAAATGAATCAATGTAATCATAAGTGTGTTAATACGCTTACGGGATATTACTGTGAATGTAATCAAGGATATAAGTTACTTGATGATGGTAAAGCTTGCGCTGATATGAATGAGTGTTTAGAAACGCCGGGAGTGTGTTCTCAGTATTGTTCGAATACGCCAGGAAGTTATTATTGTAAATGTAACGACCAGTATTATGAAAGGCAGGAAGATAAACATACATGTAAAAGAAAGGATAATATTAAACCTTGGTTGATATTTACAAATAAGTATTATATCCGTAATATTTCGATTGATGCAACAACTTACAATTTGGTTCATCAGGATTTAATGAATGTGGTTGCAATTGATTACGATTACAGATCAAATAAATTATATTTCAGCGATGTTACCGCAAAAACAATATTTAGAACTGATATTAATGGAAACGGAGAAAAGGAACCAATTATACGACATGATTCTCATGGTTTGGAAGGTTTAGCGGTAGATTGGATTGGAAGAAAATTGTATTGGTTGGATCGTCACTCTAAAAACCTTGATGTAGCCGAACTGAACGGAACAAATCGTAGAACACTTCAAACTGGAATTGCTGATCCTAGGGCTTTAATTGTTCACCCTGGCACTGGTTACATGTACTATACATCTTGGCATTTACAAGCGTACATTGGTAAAATTGGAATGGATGGAAGCAATTTTACTAGAATATTAACTTGGGAAAACGATATTTCTTGGCCTAACGCACTTACAATTGATTATTTCACCGATCGTTTATATTGGGCGGATGCTCATCTTGATTATATAGCTTCTACAGATCTTGAAGGTAAAAATAGACACATCGTTCTCTCAGGCACATCTGTTCCTCATGTATTTGCATTAAATCTCTTCGACGATTACATTTATTGGACCGATTGGAACTTAAAATGTATCAATCGAGCAAACAAAAACACCGGAAAAGACTTAACACTTTTAAGAAACACCACCCATAGGCCTTACGACATTCATATTTATCATCCATTGAGGCAACTAAATTATACAAATCCATGCGGAAATAATAACGGAGGGTGCTCTCATTTATGCTTGATTGCACCACCACACGAATCTAGTTATTTGAATATCGAAGGTTATGGAGAAGAAGGCCAAACAACGTATAAATGCGCTTGTCCCAATCAATTTTATCTTGAAAGTGATGGAAAAACTTGTATCGCTAATTGTACCGCTGGACAACATTCTTGTGGTGGAAATGATGCCAAATGTATTCCATGGTTTTGGAAGTAAGTACAATTTTCTTTTTGTTTTAATAAGATAAAATGTATTTTCAACTTTGTGTCATGTAATCATTTTCTAAATTCAACATGCAAAGTAATTGTTGAGTTGCGGTAACGTTTTTAATAAAACAACGAGCTGTTGATAGAAAATATATTGAAAATACTACTGAACTACAAACTATGACGAACTATATGAACAGAATAAAAAACTCGGTCGAAACGCGCCCTTTGTACTGGCAACTTAAAAAATATATAAATCTGTAGCTTTCAGACGAACAAGTAGCGACACATATTGGATAACGTATTGTTTTAATAATATTTAACAAATATTCAACACTCCTCCTCAATACGTTGTCTCTGAGTAACAAACAATAACAATAAAAAAACGTTAAGAAAGTGAGACCAAACCTATTTTTTCGCACAATACATTAAATTGATCTTTCGATTTAACATTTTGTAAATACATCCGCTGCCTGTCTCTTAGTGTCTATATATTGAACACACAACTGTCCATTTTCATACGCGTTTCTCACAAAATGATAACGAATATTTATATGTTTGGTACGCTTATGAAAAGACGGGGTTTTCACTAATGCAATAGTACCTTGGTTATCACAAAGCAATTTAGGATATTCATTAAAACCAATCAGTTCATTGAATAATTTTGTCAACCACAAAATGTCCTTTACACCTTAGCTGCCACGTATTCTGCCTCGGTAGATGATAAAGCGACCACGTTCTGCTGACGACTTGCCCATACAATTACTCCTCCTGCATATGTGCTCACTAATCCAGTTGTTGATTTTGCCGTTTCCCAGTCTCCTCCATGATCTGCGTCACTGTATGTCATAAAAGATCCAGGATTATCTGATTGATATGATTCCAAAATTTCTTCCGTTCCGTTTAAGTATCTAAAAATTCGTTGAACTCATTGCCAATCAGCTTGGGATGGTTTTGATACTGCTCTTGCAACGACACCCACAGCAAAGGCAATATCTGGTCGTGTAGCTGTAGCCAAACATTGTAAACAACCAACAGCTTCACGATTCAATTCATTTAGATTCTTCATCCTTTTCAATCGTCATTGTAGGAACTCCAACTGACTTTGAATGTTCCATTCCAAATCGCTCTAGTATTTTTCTGGTATACGTTGACTGACTTATAAAAATGTTGTTATCAGCCTGTTGAATTTGTATACCGAGAAATGAATTCAGTTCACCTTCCGTAATCTTGAATTCCTGCTGGTGGATTAATCCGGTTATCTCTTCTTGATCATTCCCTGCTATCAATCCATCATCCACATAGATTACTAAGAACAATCTCTGACCATTTTTATTTCTTATAAACAAACATGGATCTGCAACGCTTTCTTGAAATCCCTGCTTCAGTATAAATTGTTTGAATCTGTAGTTCCAGCACTTTGGTGCTTGCTTGAAGCCATACATAGATTTTTGAATTCGGCATACTCGATTAGTTCCATCATTAATTCCTTCTGGCTGTTTCATATATAGTTCTTCTTTAATTTCGCCATAAAGAAAAGCGGTCTTCATATCAAATTGCTAAAGTTTCAAGCCTTGCGTAGCTGCCATGCTTAACAATACGCGTACTGTATCATAACGAGCGACTGGATAAAATAGCTCATCGTAATCTATTTCTTCTTTATGCGCGCACCCTTTTACTACAAGTCTAGCTTTCGCTCTCTCTCTCTATTGATCCATCTGGTTTTAATTTCATTCGATATACCCAGCGATTTCGTAGAACTTTAATTCCTTCTGGTAATTCTTCCATCCACCATGTACCATTCTCTTCATGAGACTTCATTTCCTAATCCATCGCTTTCTTCCACATGACTTTATGTTCAGAATCTATCGCTTCTTCATACGTTCCTGGAGCACATCCCCCAGGGTAGGCAAAGTAAGCGTAATCTTGTAAGGATTTTTCCTTTCCTAGAATTGTTACCTCATAGTCATTGTATCGACTTGGTAGTTTTTGTTGTCCTTTTGGACGTGTTGAATTTGTTTCTTCTATATCTTCATTACAATTTTCTAACTTATCTGGGTAACTTTCTTCAAGAATTTCTTCCTTGTTGTTGCCTTCAGATACCTGAGTTTGAAGGTCGTTCTTAAAATCACTCTCTAAGCTGTCCAGTTGATAAGTCAATTCGTTTTCGAATGTTACGTTATAAGAACGCACCAAATCTCTGCGTCCGTCAACATAAATTCTGTACCCATCAGATTCCTCGTAACCAACCAAAAGTCCGCATTCGCTTTTGCTTCCAAATTTTTGTTTTCGATTAGGTTCTGGTAGCAAATACCAAACTTTCGTCCCGAACACACTTAATTTGTCAATATCAAAATAATTAATCCCATACTACAGTTCAATTGGTGATTTTTCATTCACTGGTGTAGGTGCCGTTCGATTAAACACAAAAACGCGTATTACACGCTTCAGCCCAAAGTTTTATAGGTAATCCCTTTTGTGTAAGCATAGCACGAGCTGCTTCAATTACAGTACGATTTTCTCTTTCCGCCGCGCCGTTTTGTTGAGGCGTTTCTGTCATTGCAATCCGCAACATAATACCGCGTTTTGATAAAGTGTCTTTCAATATTTTATTTAGAAATACAGTTCCCGCGTCACTCAATAATGTTTTAATACGTACACTTGCAGTATCCACTTCGTTGAAGAAAGTTTCAATGCACTTTTTGGTCTTAAGGCAAAACAATCGTCTGAATTTTGTAAAATCGTCTTTTAAAATTAAGCCATACCTTGACCCACCGATGGACTCACCCGACATAGGTCTAATCAAATCTGCGTTAATCTGTTCACCAGCTTCCTTCGCACGCACCGTTCTCGACCCAAAATGTTTCCGATGCATTTTTCCCTGCACGCAACCGACACAAAACTCATCTTTAATTTCAACATTGATACCATTTCTTAGTAAAAACTTTGCAATGTGTCTTTCATTTTGATGTGCGAGTCTTTCGTGCAACACTTGCAACAATTCATTGACTGACGCAACATTTACGACCACGGAATTCATCGGTTTTACTACTGAAATGTCCAAAATCGTCAAACCATTAGATATTGCCTTTCCGATTACCAAAATCTGTCCATCATGTTTAACGAACCATTCGCAAGAAAGTGGGTTGCGAATCCACTCTTTCTGGCTTGCGCGGTAGAAAATAAATTTTCACGCAATTCTGGTACATACAAGACATTTTTGAATTAACTTAACTCTCGCTTGTATGCTCACTTTTCATATTCCTAGAGCTAGTAGATCTTGAGAACCAATTCCAGTCTTAAAGTTTTTCTTGTTTGACGTCATGTGCTGGGAACATCCAGAATCAGCAATCCATGCATCCACACCGATGGAATTAATATAGCTGGGAATTGTTTTCATTGTCATCATTCGATTTCTCTGGGCACTGTGCAGCTTTATGTCCCCTTTTGTGACATTTATAACATTTAAAAAGGAAATTGCTGCTTTTGTTTTTCGTTGTATCCCCATTTCCACTTTTCGTTGATACTCCGTTATTGTTCTGTTGTGCTCCACACAGAGCCACCATGTTATTATCCGTACCAACTTTTATTCTTTTCTTCTTCATGGTTACGAATACGCTCCGTTAACATATCAAGCGATCTGGAATTGTCTGATTCAGCTTCCTAAACCGTTTTTACAGCTATATGTATATTCAACAGGCAAAATATATAAAACTCGTCCCAGTAAAATGCATTCGTCAAGCTCTGCTTGCTTTTTCCTTTTGAGTTCACTACTTATTTCATTAATTATGCAACTCACCAATATGGGTATCATATTAACATTAGCATCGTAGGCACAACCCAAAAATTGTTCAAGCAATTTATCTAAACGTTGGCCAGTTCCCATGCTAAATGTTCTTCTCAACCGATCCCACATTTCTTTAGGGGCCTTACAGCCCAAAACATGACGCTTTAAGATCTTTGCCCACTACCCCGTTCCATAGTAAGACCGTAACAGGGACGTGTCAAGCACGTAAAAAAACGTTCCGAACACTACTATGCCCACTGCAACGGACCAACACCGTTCTATTCTCGTATGAAACGCGTATTATGCCCGTATGCAAGGCCCGTGTATACAATCTGTGGATGCCCCGTTCGGATCCTGTTTAGTGCAGCACCAGACCTGTTAGTTGTTGTACATTTTTGCTGTTGCGCCTACCTGCGGATAGTATCAAAAAAGCGACGGTGTGGCTATTAGAAAGTTATCTATCAGACAATTGGCAATGATTGCCATTATTTTGGACGAGGAAGAAGAAGTAATGCAAAAACGGCGACGACGTTACTGGATTCACGATGCTCTAAAAGAACGAAAAGCTGAGGGAGAATACTGGACATTATTTAGACACTTAATTGATGATGAAGAAAATTTTTCAGTACTTTCGAATGTCATCATTTCAAATTTCCTTCCAGGCTCTCTCTTTCCTTTGAGTATCCATATCAATTTTGGATGTTGAAAGTTATATAAAAATTCGTATTTACGAACACATTTCATTAGTTTTTCGTCCACCATATTTAACAACCTGCTGAACCTGCTGCAGTGTTCTAGCGCGAAAGGAATAGTAAAACAGATGTTTGCGTAACCACGCGGTTGGGCAGCCTATGCACATCGGTGCGTGCCGTGCACCGAACGTTTCGGCACCTGCAAAATATTCCTCCCTGGGAATTGCTGTCGGGTCGGGCATGGCACGGTACGGCGTTAGTCGGTGCCGGAACGGTCCAGTGGACATTGTCTCATGATAATTCATACAAAGAATATTTTTTTGCATGTGTCGATACGGTTACGCTCATAGTATATATACGGTGTAGTGGGCAAACACCCTCGTCCAGCACATATCAGCCCCCAAACTATAACCCCAGGTGTTAAGGCTGTGTGGCGTCTTTGAACGAACTCCAAATGCCGTTTTTCCCCTCGATGTCGCATCCTTCTACTACTATCATTCATCCATAAACAAAACCTTGATTCATCA